TCACGGGGGGGGGGGGGGTGGTGGGCGCTGTAAAATCTAGTTGACTAGTGATTTGAGGGAATTGAAAATACTTTTTGTCTCCGTCATCCAAATAATATGATGGTCGCTTACAGCTAGAATCAAAATATCACCTTCCCTGCAAGAGATTGGGGGCAGTAGCTTAGAGAGTTTTCTTTAAGCGCATCCATTTAACACATCTTTTGATGACGCCATATGATTATATTTTCTTGGCTCATTTGTGCGCTTTTCGATCAAATGTGCAAAATAATGATTTATTTAGAGAGTATACAATTCATTTATTTGGTTTTCTTTTCTTAGAATCTTTTCATTCTTGTGTTTAGAGAGTGTGAAAAAAAAAAATAACGACACAAAATATCTTCAGAAATGAAGCTACTAATTGCTTTAAACTTCATTGTCAGTGCAACCGTTTATTTGAACATTACTCGAATAGTGGGGGGAGGGTGGTCATTATAGCTGATGAACTTACTAGAACATTTTTATTGATAAAGTCAAAAGTCATGACAGCTTAAATATTGCAGTAACCATCGTATTGTGTGCTAACAGTAAATAGAAACAAATGTATATGGAGAATAAGTCTATTAATAGAAAAAGAAATTTGATCCCTTAACTACATTTAAAAAAAACAACAACATAGCTTCCTTTTTTTCTGTTACACAATAAACTTCCTAACACATTTTTATTTTTTTATAAAATTTTCTCTCCATTAGACTCGTGGCGCTGTCATGGTTACATTTGCTTTGTCTTAAAGGCTAGACTTTGAAAGTTCAACTATTGTGGTATATCAATGTATTTAATTTACTTTGTATACAACCAAAGAAAACGTGCAGTTTGAGTTGTTCTTTCGTTAAGCCAAATTGATCTCTAATGGTGTTATTGGCTCATGTTGTTTGTATCTTTGGTCTAATCGTAGTCCAATTTAGTCCAGTCTCTGTCCAGTCTCGTGAAAAAATAGTCTCGTGGATTGAAAAATAATGGAATACGTTAGGTTTATGATGGAACACAGTCTCTCAAATCTAGTAATTAGGTCGAGACTTCTGTTTAATTTTAGACCACCTTTTAATCATCGTGTAGAAAGTGAAGTCCGATTAACAGAATGTATAGGAAGTCTGACTTTCTGAATGTGTGTGAAGTCTGATTAACTGAATGTATACGGAGTCTGACTTTCTGAATGTGTGTGAACTCTGATTGACTGAATGTATAGGAAGTCTGACTTTCTGAATGTGTGTGAAGTCTGATTAACTGAATGTTTAGGAAGTCTGACTTTCTGAATGTGTATGGCGTCTGATAAGCTGAATGTCTGTAAAGTCAGACTGGCTAAAATTATGTGATTTCCGACTAGCTGAATGCCAGTGAAGTCAAATGTACAACCTACAGCCAATAAAATCTGATTGGCTAAATTTTTTTGGGGGTCACATGTAGAACATAACGCCAACGAATAAGATGGTAGGTTAAATACAATCACATCATAAGAACTTCAATGCTCAGAGTGTAACTTAGATAAGATTACTACAGTTAGTGTTTAGCTGATTTCATTTTATATATTATTATATCACTGAGTATCTGGAAAATATAAAGTACATTTGAAGACTACGATAAAAATATTATAGATGTGTATGAAATAGTGTGTTTCTCAAATAGAGACATCTCAAATATTGTCTCTAAAACAGATGGTTCTAAAAAAAGTAATGTTTCTAACTGAGAGACGTCTGAAATATAGAAGATTCTAAAGTATATGGTTCTAAAGTATATGGTTCTAAAGTATATGGTTCTAAAAAATGGTTTAAAAATATTACGAGAGTTAAGTTTATTTTCTATAGCGCATGTATCGTGTATGTAAGGAAAGATTGATCTCCCCTTGTTTAAAAATCCTTATCTCATTATCTCCCCAAGGGTAATTAACGAATCATGAATCGAAGTGAACCTTCAACTTGGAAGAGTTGAGATACTTGGGAACGTCCAGTAGATTGACGTCGACCAAATTAATGAGCGGGCCATGCCAGTAATTCGTGCAGCAGCTGCAATATGTTGGTAAAAACAAACGACCATGGCTAGTGGTCTTTGGTACAAACAACAAGACCATGGCTAGTGGTCTTTGGTACAAACAACAAGACCATGGCTAGCGGTCATCTTTGAAGAAACCCTCTCAAGTCTGCACATAGCTTTGACTTGTAGGGTGATGTGGCAGAGCTGGCACACTATGACGTACAACTTCACTACCCACCCACGTCGTATCCATACACTTCCTATACCATCAACCTCCTATATCATGCACCTCCTATACCATCCACGTCCTATACCATCCACCTCCTATACACCCACCTCCTATACCATCCACCTCCTATACCATCCACCTCCTATACCATCCACCTCCTATACCATCCACCTCCTATACCATCCACCTCCTATACCATCCACCTCCTATACCATCCACCTCCTATACCATCCACCTCCTGTTCCACTCACTCCACATCCCTCTCTTTCCCCATCCTAACCACTCACTAGACCATCACTCCGTACCCCATCCGCTCTATTCAATCCCTTTCTTCCCCATCCAATCCCTCTAACATCGTAACCTCCTTTCACCATCACAGCCTCCCCATTTCATGATTTCTTATACCACCTATTACCATGTATCCCTCCCATTCTTTCCTTACCAAAATTGTCCCCTCTCCTCCCACCCACACATTATCCCACTCACCCCCACTGTAAATTCCAAGATGGGTAAAGACAGTTGCCATTAGCTAATTAACTAATGATTTTGTTTCAGCCCTCTCCAAGATTTAGATTCTTTTACATATTGCTTATATGTCAACCCCTCGACAACATACACCATCAAACTGTTCATAGATTAGACACAGTTGTTGTGTCCATAGATTGGACGGAGTTGTTGTGTCCATAGATTAGACACAGTTGTTGTGTCCATAGATTGGACGGAGTTGTTGTGTCCAAAGATTAGACACAGTTGTTGTGTCCATAGATTAGACACAGTTGTTGTGTCCATAGATTGGTCGTAGTTGTGTCCATAGAGTGGTCGTTGTTGTTGTGTCCAAAGATTGGACGTAGTTGTTGTGTCCATAGAGTGGTCGTAGTTGTTGTGTCCAAAGATTGGACGTAGTTGTTGTGTCCATAGAGTGGTCGTAGTTGTTGTGTCCATAGATTGGACGTAGTTGTTGTGTCACTCTCACTGTACTGTCGTACTGTCAGATGAGATAACACATTGTTAGTTCATGAAAATATTCAAGCACCCAGTGGTTGGCCAACTCAATGAGTTTCATGTTGTGGGGAATTATTGTCAAGACATTACGCCCGCCACTTCTGCTTTCCCCTTTCAATCTGTGAGTGAAGTTCCAAGTCAATATCTTTTGTTGCTCTCCATTAGCCTCCACTGCATGGAGCACTGCTGCTGGTTTTGGCAGTTTTTTTGAACATATTTCTACTGGTCAGTGCTTTTCACTGGTCTGGTTCTTTCCACTGGGCAGGTTTTTCCACTGGGCAGGTTATTCCACTGTTAAGGTGCTTTCCAATGGTGAGTGCTTTCCACTAGTAAGGGGCTATCCACTGGACAGACGCTTTCCACTGATCTGGCGCTTTCCACTGGTCAGGTGCTGTTTACTGGTCATGTGCTTTCCACTGGTCAGGTGCTGTTTACTGGTCATGTGCTTTCCACTGGTCAGGTGCTGTTTACTGGTCATGTGCTTTCCACTGGTCAGGTGCTGTTTACTGGTCATGTGCTTTCCACTGGTCAGGTGCTGTTTACTGGTCATGTGCTTTCCACTGGTCAGGTGCTGTTTACTGGTCATGTGCTTTCCACTGGTCAGGTGCTGTTTACTGGTCATGTGCTTTCCACTCCACAATATTTTTGTCTTACCATCACACCTTATCTTTATCTTACGTCACAACACAATATCTTTGTCTTACATCACAGCTTAATCTTGTTTGCATATCATCACTGAATCATATCTTCGTCTTACCACTATACCATAATATCTCTGTCATACCATCACACCATCATTCGTCTTACCATTATACCAAGATTTATTTATCTTCCTTTCATTCCTTAAATATTTCGTTTAAAGAACAACACATTATTAGTTTTTAAAGACATATCAACGTTTATTACGAAATACTTGAATATGAACTAAATACATATGTGTTCTACGGTAGACACTAGTTCATCATCACTATATTAATATCAGATATGTTCATATTGTTTCAATACATTAGGACTCCACTAGGCAAAAGTTCATTATCACTATATTAATATCAGATATGTTCAAGTTGTTTCAATACAATGTTTATGACTGAAGCCATCGAGAGCAGGAACATGAGACCAGTCCGGTAACAAAGCATGTGTTGAAAAATGCTTAAAACATCACACAGGCTTTTCTCCTTTGAAAATTTTACAATATGTTAATAACAGTCAGAATCGAAGGTCATCTTGTAATTCAAATAACCTCTATGACGTAACGAGGTTTACATTTTTTAAAGATCAGACCAATAACGTCATAAGAATCGATTTTAATGTTTTAGTTATTTAAGAATATTCCGAATATTTCTCTGGCCAATGCACACATCCAATAAATCATTCAGCCCTTCACTCACCAATACATTCAACCATCCACCCCCCATCCACCCACCCAACAACCCACCCACCCATCGATCAATCCATCCATCCATCGACCCTTCCACCCAAAAATCCACCCATCCATCCAGCCATCCATCTACCCACCCATCCACCCATCCATCAATCCACCCACCCATCCACCCATCCATCAATCCACCCAACCATTCATCCAACCATTCATCCACCCACCCATCCACCCAACCATCCACCCATCCATCCATCCATCCAACCATCGATCCATCCACCCAACCATCCATCCATCCATCCACCCACCCATCCATCCACCCACCCACCCATCCACCCACCCACCCACCCAACCACCCAACCACCCCTCCACACATCCACCCCTCCACCCAACCATCCCTCCACTTAACCATCCCTCCACTTAACCATCCCTCCACTTAACCACCCCTCC